GAGATGAGCTTCAGGCGAGGCCTCGGGCAGGGGATCGACTCGCTCATCTTCGTCGGGAGGAGAGGTGACCCTCGTGCGCCTGCTGCTGCTGGGGGCTGGTCTGCGGTGTCGTGCTGCCCGCTCCTCGCGCTTGCGGGATGGGTGGGGGAGGGGGTGGGGGTGGGGACTGACACGATGACGCAGGGGCTCGCTTCGTGCTGGCGGAGGGCGGGGACCGGGAGGGGGGAGAGGGCAGGGAGGGAGGGGGCATCAGCTTCCGCATGGAGGCGGGAGAGGCGTGGGGGGTGTGCGTGCTGGATGCGGGGAGGGGAGGAGAGCGAGAGGTACGAGTGGCGAGCGTGCAGACGGAGAGGGAGAGGGAGGAATGGGGGGACGAGAACATGGAAGAGGAGCAGGAGGAGATTAAGGAGGAGGAGGAGAAGGCAGATTGGTCTTCGTCTTTCGGGGTGTCATCTTGCTCATCGCCGTCATGGTCGGAGTCGTCAGGGAGGGGCAGGAGGAGCTTGAGGGAGCAAGGCGGAGAGATGTCGGGGCTGATGTTCGGGTACAGGAGGAGGTGCTGAGGGACGAGGGGAGGAGGAGGAGGAGGAGGAGGAGGAGGAGGTTGAAGACAAAGGGCAGTAGGAAGAGGAGGTTGTATGCAAGTGAAGGACGAGAAGAAGCTGCTGGGGTTCTTTCAAAGCAACTCGCCCGACTGGTTGAGTTGTTACACTACTTTACTCAAAGTTAAGTTAAAATCAGTACCCGGTACAGTCGCCGCGGGCCCGCCGGAAGACGGCAGTGGGTCAGCGGCAGTCACTGAGACCCGGCGGTCTTAGTCTCATCGCCCTCATGCGCTTTCAGCACGTTCATAAGTTTCCCAGAGGACCCGTCAAGGTTCGAGCCACCCCTACCACCTCTCATCGACCACCCCTACTCCTTCCCACCACCCCACCCCATAAGGCTCCTCGCACACTGAAAAAGTCATCTCCCGCCTCTCGTCGTCATCATGTACTACCCCACCCCCGGATCCCAAGGAGGTTGGGAGCGACAAGGTGGGTGGTGAGGCTTTCCAGGGGACACACCACGAACGGGTTACGGCGACGACTCGGAGACGGGGGGTGGGGTGGGAATTGGGGGTAGTAGGAGCCTGGTCTGGTAGTTCCGCCAGTACCATTTTGACTCAAGTCACAGATCAGTCGAAGGGGTGGGGTAGGGGATGGGAGGGGTAGTGGGTGGTCATAAATGGAGTCATCAGGCCCCTGAAGGAGGTCTGACCCACCCCTAGCTGCGGGGAAAATTACACCGAGACCCACCCCTCATCTACCCGATACCACCCCCCACCCCTCGTTCCCATGTGGCCAAAAAAACAAATATCAAATATCCCCACCCCCCTCCCGCCATGAGCCGAACACATTCAGTGGCAGTTCGAGGAAAGAGAAATGCAGGGCGAGAGGCGACGGAGAAGAGAGAGAGAGCGAAGGAGGAGGAGAGGGAGAGAACGGCGGAGGAGAAGGCCAAACATCTCCACGAGGACAAGGAGAGGAGGGGAGGGGAGGCGGGGGGGCTGGAGAAAGAAACGTGATGATGGTGAGGAGGAGCAGAGGCGAGAGAGGGTGCAAGCAAACGCCCAAGAGACGAACGAGTCCTGCTGCTCCTCTCTCTGACTGACGCTTACCCTCCTGCCCCCTGCAGCGCCTCCGCATGCCCGCCAGCCCCTCCAACACCCCCCCCGAGCTCGCTCCGGTCAGTCTGCTGGGCTCTGACCAGGTCGCTGACTGAGCTGGAGGTGCTGAGCTTGGATCACGTCCTCAAGTGCGAGGGCCTGGGAGAGGTCCTGCCGTGTCGCTGCCGTGGTATGCTCTGACGGGCTGAGCAGGGTCTGCGGTTTTCTGGG